AGTCACACACACACATGGACACAGTCTTAGCAAGTCAACATTAAGAAGTGTTTTCTTGTCTTCTTATATTCGTGGGGTGATCTATATTACATATTTCTTTTGTACCAACTCTGTGTGATCTTTGCTTGGCCCAACTTTCATCAAAAGACTAATGAACAGAAAGTTTAGAAAATAGATTAATCACCAAATAATTGTGTTCAGAGTGTGTCCAAGTATAGAAAACCAGGGCATTAGCAGATAAGAACATATTTCAATATTTATGAAGCAATTTTTCCACAATTAAAGAGGTCTGTAATAGGTTTTTTTTATTGTCGTCATTCTTTTGAATCTTAATCCATAAATTGTTATCAAATCATTAAAAGGAAAATGTATCACCCTGATGTGCATATCTTCCCTTTGATGAGCTTGGTGATATACCAGTTCTTCTAGGTTTTTGGATCACATTTGAGGATAAATAAATGCCATTAGAACTTTCTGACTCATTATAAGTCTGAAAATAGCCAGAAATGGAAGGAGGCCAATGAAAGATAAAACTATCCCGAAGATGAAACTGGATGAGTCATTCTTGTTTTTGTTCAGTTGCTAAGTTGTGCAACCCCATGTAGTATAGCCCGCCAGGCTCCTCTGTCCATGGGATTCTCCAGGCAAGAGTGCTGGACTGGGTTGCCATTCCCTCCTCCGGGGGGGCTTACCAAACCAGGGACTGAACCCAGGTCTCCCACATTGCAGGCAGATTCTTTCCTGTGTGAGCCACCTAGACAGATATATAATGATGGGCAGGTCAATAAATTAGACAGATGACGGATAAATGATGATAGATAAGACAAATGATACATAAATTATATATATATATATATATATATATTATATACACGTGTGTGTATAGATGACAGATTACATATATGGATAGATAGATTGATTATAGTGAGATAGCTAGATAGCTGGGTGAAAGATAATAGATCGAGGGCTTCCCGGGTGGTGCTCATGGTAAAGAACCTACCTGCAAATGCAGGAGAAGGAAGAGGCATGGGTTCGATCCCTGGGTTGGGAAGATCCCCTGGAGGAGGGCCTGGCAACCCACTCCAGTATTCTTGCCTGGGAAATCCCATGCACGGAGGAGCCTGGTGGGCTGCAGTCCATGGGATCACCCAGAAGGAGACAGGTGACAGATACATGATAAGTAGATAGTAGATAGATAGAGCTTGTCATAGGGAATGCATTTACACAATGACAGACGCTGAGAAGTGACGTGATCTGGCATCGGCAAGCCACACACCCAGGAGAGGTACCTGATGGAGTAAGTTTAAGTTCAAGGGCAAAGGAAGACCCATGACCTTGCTCAGCATGCAGGCAGAGAGGAGACAGTCTCCCTTTCTCTCCCTTCCAGTTTGATTCACACCATCAGCTGGTCAGACGAAGTCCAGCCACCCCGTGTGTGTGTCCGTGGGGTGGGGTGGCGAGAGGACAATCTGCTTTAGTGAGTCTCCCCACTTAAAAGCTCATCTCTTCCAGAAACACCCTCCCAGACACACCCAGAAATAACATGGATACCTGCCCCTCCCCACCGCCCGGCCCCATTACATTGACACGTACAAGGAACCTCACTCACCCCAACATTGATCAGGCCCGTTTGCTTCCTGCTCCGTCTTCTCTTGGGAGGGTGGGGGTCCCTCCGAACTCAACGCACGTTCTCTTGGGGAAGTTTCACCCGAGCTCTGGATTTTAAGGACACTCACGGCCGTGGTGCTCATAGCACACAGTTCCCAAGGGGGGTGCTCGGAGACCAGAGAGGGGAAAAGAGCGACTGGGAACTGTCTGCACCTGGGCTGTCTTCTGTGCTCCGCTGCGGTCAGTCGCTCAGGCGCGTCTGACTCGCTGTGACCCCGTGGACTGCAGCCCGCCAGGCTCCTCTGTCCAGGGGATGCTCCAGGCGAGAATGCTGGAGTGGGTGGCCATTCCCTTCTCCAGGGGATCTTCCTGACCCAGGGATCGAGCTTGGGTCTCCTGCACTGCAGGTGGATCCGTTGCTGACTGACCCACCAGGGAAGCCTGGCAACTGAATTAAAGGAGCGAAAGACACACGCGTCTGCCTCAGAACTAGCCTCCTCCCTTCCTCTGAGGCGGCATCTCTCTCAGTCAGCGCTGAAACCTAAAGAATGGGGCGCCACGCAAACCTTTGTCTGAGACACACCTATGACTGTTTGCTGCGATGCTGCAGTCTCGAGGACGACGGCCCTGGTTCTGGAGGACGTGCGTGTGGCTCTGAGAAGATGGTGGTCTCAGGAGGGTGGGTAACGAGGTGAGCGTGTGTCAGGAGGGTGGGTAACGAGGTGAGCGTGTGTCAGGAGCCGAGTGGTCCTCGTGGGGATGGAGCCTCCAGCCCCCTGCTGAGTGTCAGCACCTCATCTCGACAGACGCCACTGATGGGTGAGGACGACCTTCCCTCCCTTCATCCGACTCGGCTGGGCACGGGAGTGATGCAGGCTCTGAGAATTGCTCTGAGTGGCTTCTAAGTCGTGTCTCAGCAGGAGAAACCTGTGGTGTTGTCGCCGGCGGTGCTTTAGTCGCTCAGTCGTGTCCGACTCTTTGCGACCCCCTGGACCATAGCTCACCAGGCTCCTCTGTCCATGGGATTCTCCAGGCAGGAATACTGGAGTGGGTTGCCATTTCCTCCTCCAGGGGAATCTTCCTGACCCAGGGATGAAACTCAGGTCTCCTGCATTGCAGGCAGATTCTTTACCCGCTGAACCACCAGGCCATTCGTTAAGTGTGTGGAATTCTTGGAAGTGCGGCCAACGTGCAACATCATTCATCGTCTTGGTTCGGGCTGCCTTGATCAAAGTCTGTAGACTCGGTGGGGGATGAGAAACAACAGACTTTCCCACCCCCCCACCCCCCCCAGTCCCCCCAGTCCTGGAGTCTGGATGTCTGCAATCCTGGCGAGGGCAAATTTAGTGTCTAGTGAGGACTCTCCTCCTGGTTCACAGACAGCATCTTCTGTCTGTGTCCTCACCCGCAGGCAAGGGTGAGGAAGATTTCTGCGGTCTTTTATAAGGACACTAACTTGTACCCTCATGGCAGAAAGCAGAGGAACTAAAGATCTCCTAATGAAGGTGAATGAACCGAGTGAAGAAGCTGGCTGCAAACTCAACATTTGAAAAACGAGGATCATGGCATCTGGTCCCATCACTTCATGGCAAATGGATGGGGAAACAATGGAAACAGTGAGAGACTTTATTTTCTTGGGCTCCACACTCGCTGCGGATGGTGACTGCAGCCATGAAATTAAAAGATGCTTGTTCCTTGGAAGGAGAGCTTGAGAGGTGAGGGTGGGCGTGTGCAGACTGAGGACCACAAGTCCGGATGTGGCTGCAGATATCGGCGAGGGGGGCCCATCTGCCTCCGTCCATAGTTGTTCAGTCATTCAGTCATGTCCGTAGAGCCATCCCATCACCACACTGGGACTCTTGGTTGTTCCTGCTCATTATTGTGTCCAAATCTTTCTGACCCCATGGACTGCAGCACGCCAGGCCTCCCTGTCCATCACCAACACCCCGAGTTTGCTCAGACTCATGTCCATTGAGTCAGTGATGCCATCCAACCATCTCATCCTCTGTCGTCCCCTTCTCCTCCTGCCTTCAATCTTTCGCAGCATCAGGGTCTTTTCCAATGAGTCAGCTCTTCCCATCAGGTGGCCAGAGGATTGGAGCTTCGGCTTCAGCATCAGTCCTTCCAATGAATATTCAGGGTTGACTTCCTTTAGGATGGACTGTTCTGATTGGAAGTGGCGTGGAAGTTGCTTTAATAAATGACTCAGAAAGCGTCTTATAAATGTTAATAAGGAGAAGGGGCTTGGTGAATGCCGTAACTGTGAGGCTTGAAGGGGAAAAAAAAAAGCAAAGCTACAAACAGACATGCAAGACATCTGTTTCTGGTGCAAAGAGGAAAGACAGAGAGGGAAGGAGGTCGGAAGGATTATCCAAAACAGAGCAGCAGGGAGACGGTGGGGACGGCGTGGGGCTGGCGGAGAGGCAGCAGGAAGAAAGGGCATCCGTGGTCGGCCAGCAGATTGCTCCACACCGCGGTGCCCGGCTTCATGGAAAGTGACGGACAGATGTGTCAGGGCGGGCGTCCGCCAGTTTGATCTGCGGGGAGATTGAATTAGGCAGCAGATTAGAGTGGGGAACATGCTCACGCTTGCTGTTCTGAGAACACATGGCAGGTGGGTGCTCATTAGACGGGCCGGGTGCACGACCGCCTGCTGGAAATTCTATTTATGGGAGAGGAGGACACAGCATTTGACCTTGCGTGGTTGGCAGTAGGGGGTGATTCCTGGGGTTGATCGCCAGGTGATGGGGGAGCAATGGCTTTGGTCCTTAGGGGACCGTCGTGTCCTGTGTCCCCTCCACATGCGACCTCGTATGTGCAATAGTGCAGACAGGCACACGCCTGCCAAAACCATGTGCGTGCATGCACACGTGTGGGACAAAGGACAGTCACATTTCCTGACATCTCTTTCTCCTTTAACTTATTGCTTTAAATGCTTTATTCATTAATATTACTATGGCCGTGCTGTGCAGCACACTGGATCTTAATTCTCCGACCGAGGATTGAACATATCTCTTCCCCAGGTTTGGCCGTGCCCAACTGGGAGAGGTCAGCAAGAATATTTTGGCATTGTTTAGTCACTCAGTTGTGTACAACTGTTTTCTGACTGAATGGACTGTAGCCCGCCAGGCTTCCTCTGTCCGTGGGATTCTCCAGGCAAGAACACTGGAACGGGTGGCCATGCCCTCCTCCCGGGGATCTTCCCCACCCGGGGATTGAACCTGCATGTCCTGTGGCATGTGACAAGGACAGGGAGGAGGCTGGCGGCACCTCACACCCCGGGATGGCACGCTGAGTACGTCCCTTGCAAACCATCCCGTAAGATAGAGTCGGCAAGAAACCTCAAGTGTCGTGTCGCCTCCAGCATCTCGGGCACCCTTCTCCAGGGCTTCTTACAAAGACGCACAATCATGGTCGCCAGGTACCAACCGCCGCCGGACGCGGGCCTTGACGCATCTCCCAGCCTCTTTCCACGCAGCAGGGCGTGCCGCGGTGGGGATCAGTTTGCCGATCGGCCGGAACTCGGCGGCACCTGCTTCCAGACGAGCAGCCTTAGTGGCTTCAAGGTGCACCCGCCGAGATCTCCTGTGTGGCCGGCATGCCTCCTCCCGAGGCGCGATTCCATCGCCCGTCTCCTTCTCCCGAGTCTGGGACGCCGGCCTCCTCCGGAGTCGGGAGCCGGGCCTCGCTGGAGGGCGCGTGTGGCCCTCGGGGAAGACGCCTGTCTGGACCCTCTGTGGGCGGCTGTTGGCTGTGACCATGGGCTCCCCTGGCCGGGAGTCCATTTTTTTCCTCTCCTTGCTGCTCCTACCCGTAGTTCATAAATCAGAATGTAGATGAGAGACTCTTGGTTAATTTTCCGCACCGAGCGCAGAGTGTCTGAGCCCATAAAGCTCAGGCAGTCCCGCGCTGTGAATTTCCTGATCCTGACAAGGCAAGCAGCTTAGAAATCATCATTATAAGTTACAAGTGTCTTAGGGGTTGTTCTTCTGACATAAAACTAATTTCATGTTTTTATTCATAATGTGGGAGAGATGAGAGGCAGGGGGCCCGCTTTCCAGGGCGCTCCTGGAGACATCACAGGCTGTGTCTCCTGCCGTAATGACAGGAGACGGCAGGCCCCGTCCTTCTTCTCAAGCCCCTGGATGGCCCTGGGAGCTGCTGACGACCTCAGGGACAGTCTCTCCGCTTCTCCCAAGGGCCTGCCCTGCAGCGAGCTGGTACCTCGCCAGCGAATGACCCTGTGTCTCCAGAGCCATCCCATCACCACATTGGCACCCTTGGTTGTTATGGTTCATTAGCTCAGTCATTTCCGACTCTTTGTGGCCCCACGGACTGCAGTACGCCAGGCTTCCCTGTCCTTCACTATCTCCCGGAGCTTGCTCAAACTCACATCCGTTGAGTCAACGATGCCATCCAACCATCTCATCCTCTGTTGTCCCCTTCTCCTCCTGCCCTCAATCTTTCCCACCGTCAGGGTCTTTATTCATGAGTTAGCTGTTGGCATCAGGTGGCCAAAATATTTATTGGAGCTTCGGCTTCAGCATCGGTCCTTCCAGTGACTGTTCAGGGTGGATTTCCTTTAGGAATGACTAGTTGGATCTCCTTGCAGTCCGAGGGACTCTCAACAGTGTTCTCCAGCACCACAGTTGGAAAGCATCAACTCTTTGGTGCTCAGCCTTCTTTACGGCCCACCTGGACCCGAGACAAAGAACCACAGAGTTGGGGCTTAAAACAGTAAGAATAGATCTTCGGGTCACTCTGGAGACCAGATGTCTGAGATAGAGGTGTGGGCCAGCTGGGTTTTTCTGGAGGCTCCAATGTAGAATACATCCCTGGTCTCTCCCCCAGCTTCTGGGGGGCTGCCAGAAATCCTTGCCGTCCCTTTTTTTGTAGAAGTGCCATCCCTCCTGCCTCAACTGTCCCATGACTGTCTCCCCCGTCTGTGTTTCCACGGCTCCTCTTTTTCCTCACACGGACGCTGTTCTATATTTCCTTCTGGTCCTCCCATTTAGGATTCCCCCATGCATGTTAGCGCTTCCCAGGTGGTGTTCATGGTAAAGAACCTGCCTGTCAACACAGGAGACACAAGAGACAAGGGTTCGGTCCCTGGGTCAGGAAGATCCCCTGGAGGAGAGCATGGCAACCCACTCCAGTGTTCCTGTCTGAGGAATCCCATGGACAGAGGAGCCATGTGGTTGCAAAGAGTCAGACATACCGAGAAACGGAGCAGGCACATACGCACGTGTGTTTGAGAGTGAGTCTTGAAAACCTATAGTACTCCAGGATGAATGTATGGACCAGACAAAGAGTGTGGCTCCACCTCAGATGTGGCTCTAGGTCTCAGATACCTTATGTTTCTTGTCCATGTTCAATACTCAATTTAAAAAAGTCACAGTCAATATTAGATGATTATTTAGAGGGCATGTCCCCTTTCAGAGGCTTCCCAAGTGGTGTCAGTGCTAAAGAACCTGCCAGCCAAAGCAGGAGACACCAGAGATGCAGGTTCGATTTCTGGGTTGGGAAGATCCCCTGGAGGAGGAAATGCTAACCTGATAGTGTTCTGGCCTGGAGAATCCCACGGACAGAGGCGCCTGGTGGTCTGAAGTCCACGTGGTCACAAAGAGTCGGGCACAACCAGAGCAACTAAGCATGTCCCCTTTCAAGTCTGCAAGCAAATTAAGTTTCCTTCCATCCGTGAAGTTGAGTCAACCTAATGGAGATGGCAGTGATACCAGTCTCATGAAAAGTGAAAGTGAAACAAAGTGAAGTCGCTCAATCATGTCCGACTCTTTGTGACCCCATGGACTATAGCCTGCCAGGATCCTCTGTCCATGGGATTCTCCAGGCAAGAATACTGGAATGGGTTGCCATTTCCTTCTCCAGGAGATCTTCCCAGCCCAGGGATTGAACCCAGGTCTCCCGCATTGTAGGCACTTTACCATCTGAGCCACCAGGGAATGTTACCAGTCTCACAGGGAAGGCTACTGGAAACCCAATCAGGACTTTACCCAGGGATTGGGCTCAACCCTCTGGACTCTCAAAAATCTTCCTGAGTTGCGAACTCTGCACATACGCCATGGATCTCCTCCTGAGAGGTTTTAATTGTCTGCCAAGCTTTCACGTGGATAGTTGCACCTATTTTCCTCGGGAGACGGAAGAGTCACGACCCGGAGGTCTCCTGGGGTTCTCTGGAACTGATGGAGCAGCCCCTAGCAAGAACTGTGGTCCCTTCACTTCCGGAGATCCACGAAACCTCCCCAAGAAGGTTTTCAGAGCTGGTGTAAAACTGGTTTCTTAGAAGGAAGCCATGGTGGTGGGTATGGAGGCTGGGGATGAAGCTAAGGTCTATATCAACAGGGTGCCAAATATCTGTCCAATCACGTGGAAAAATGTACCATGTCCATCAGTCCCCACCATAGATGTGGCCTCTGCAGTACTTTAAAATAAAAGAGAATATTTACGTTAGGAAGAGACCTAGACACTCATGTCAAATAGAAAGGGGGTGGGGGTAGCAGGGCAAAGTCTTATGTCAGACTGAGAGGGCTTACAGTCTGCCCCCGGACCCAACAGGGTTTTATTTTGGGGCGATATCTTTCTCCGGAAGACTTCCCAGGTGGCGCAGTGGTAAAGAATCCACCCGCCAATGCAGGAGACGTGGGCTTGATCCCTGGGTCTGGAAGATCCCCAGGAGGAGAGGAAGGCAACGCAGTCCAGTGTTCTTGCCTGGGAAATCCCATGGACAGAGGGGCCTGGTGGGCTACAGTCCACGGGGTCCCAAAGAGTCGGACACGACTGAGAAACCGAGGACTTCCTCAAAAACTCATCTTGGATCCTGCAAAAAGACAAATCAAAGCAAAATAATAAAACCGCCATTACCACCCCAAACCCTCTCGCAGGCTCTTTTTAAATAACAGACTCTAGTCCACTGACAGCACGCAAAGCCGACAAAATTCAGAATCCATGCACGTCTGCGTTCGCTTTTAAGACTCCTCATTCCGGAGGAACAGCCGTCCTGCCTGTTTGACCCGCCTAGCAGGACTCCAATCAGAAAAGATAAGAGCATGTTTAATTGATCAGCCCGCGTCGGCAGAGCGCTTTGAAGGTGAGCACTGCGATATCATTCTAATGATGGGGCAGGCGCTGTGATCTTTGGAGAATTTCGCCTCTCGTCTGAGCTGCCGTTCTAATTTGAGGCACGCTGCCCCGAGAGTGGACTGGTTCTTGATCCCGGCCAGGGGTCGTCTGCCAGGCTGCTCGGCGGGAAGCGCCTTGGATGTCTAGCAGCAGCTCCGGGCGTGGGGACCAGCACGGCTGCTGAGAGAGTGCAGATGCTGTGAGCTCTGCTGACGGGCGGGCAGATTCAAGACGGCGCGCGGGGGGGAGCTCTTGGACGGACTCAAGATGGCGCGCTCTTGGACGGACTCAAGATGGCGCGCGGGGGGAGCTCTTGGACGGAATCAAGATGGCGCGCGGGGGGAGCTCTTGGACGAACTCAAGATGGCGTGCGGGGGGAGCTCTTGGACGGATTCAAGATGGCGCGTGAGGGGAGCTCTTGGACGGATTCAAGACGGCGCGCGGGGGGAGCTCTTGGACGGATTCAAGATGGCGCGCGGGTGGAGCTCTTGGACGGATTCAAGATGGCGCGTGAGGGGAGCTCTTGGACGGATTCAAGACGGCGCGCGGGGGGAGCTCTTGGACGGATTCAAGATGGCGCGCGGGGGGAGCTCTTGGACGGAATCAAGATGGCGTGCGGGGGGAGCTCTTGGACGGAATCAAGATGGCGCGCGGGGGGAGCTCTTGGACGGATTCAAGACGGCGCGCGGGGGGAGCTCTTGGACGGATTCAAGATGGCGCGCGGGTGGAGCTCTTGGACGGATTCAAGATGGCGCGTGAGGGGAGCTCTTGGACGGATTCAAGACGGCGCGCGGGGGGAGCTCTTGGACGGATTCAAGATGGCGCGCGGGGGGAGCTCTTGGACGGAATCAAGATGGCGCGCGGGTGGAGCTCTTGGACGGATTCAAGATGGCGCGTGAGGGGAGCTCTTGGACGGATTCAAGATGGCGCGCGGGGGGAGCTCTTGGACGGATTCAAGATGGCGCGCGGGGGGAGCTCTTGGACGGAATCAAGATGGCGCGCGGGTGGAGCTCTTGGACGGAATCAAGACGGCGCGTGAGGGGAGCTCTTGGACGGATTCAAGACGGCGCTTGGGGGGAGCTCTTGGACAGATTCAAGACGGCGCGTGGGGGGAGCTCTTGGACGGATTCAAGATGGCTCGCGGGGGGAGCTCTTGGACGGAATCAAGATGGCGCGCGGGTGGAGCTCTTGGACGGATTCAAGATGGCACGTGAGGGGAGCTCTTGGACGGATTCAAGACGGCGCGCGGGGGGAGCTCTTGGACGGACTCAAGATGGCGCGCTCTTGGACGGACTCAAGACGGCGCGTGGGGGGAGCTCTTGGACAGATTCAAGACAGCGCGTGAGGGGAGCTCTTGGACGGACTCAAGATGGCGCGCGGGTGGAGCTCTTGGACAGATTCAAGACAGCGCGTGAGGGGAGCTCTTGGATGGATTCAAGATGGCGCGTGGGGGGAGCTCTTGGACGGAATCAAGATGGCGCACGAGGGGAGCTCTTGGACGGAATCAAGATGGCGCGCGGGTAGCTCTTGGACGGAATCAAGACGGCGCGTGAGGGGAGCTCTTGGACGGATTCAAGACGGCGCTTGGGGGGAGCTCTTGGACAGATTCAAGACGGCGCGTGGG